AACAAGTGAAACAAGCAAAAGGAGCAAAACAAGCAAAACAAAACAACGGTTATGAGCAAAACCAAGTGAAAAGATCTTGATGATTACTGCTTCTCTTAAGATGTCATGAACAGAAAAGAATTATTAAATAAATATAATTTGCATCACATCATCTCTCTGAGAGATTTGAACATTGAAATTACCATAAAAAATGTCTTTCGTTACCCTTGATACTCTCTGGAACCAAACTGCCCCTTGGGATAAGGATTGAACTGTAGCTTGCTTGGAGCTTTATCCAGAGGGCAAGTGAACTAGAAAAGTTGGTTATCAGGCAATGAAATTTAGACAATTGAGCAGATTTGTTCAAAGTATTTTAAAGCTAACTTGGGATTAGCCAACAATTTTTTTAATTTAATTTTGAAGTTTTTCAGACTGTTTTAATTGTCTACATTTTTACTTTAGTTTTGTCTTTCGCTGAGACAAATCCCTCAAAATGTAAACCCCTGAAACTTGTGGCACTGATCTTAAAGTTCAGTTTCTTAGCAATGCACCAACTGCTGTGATGAAAAATACAAAAACAAAAATGACAAGGTGAGGTCAATAGTGTTAAAAAGATAACATTGTTAAAGCTGAAGGAGTGTCAGGCTAAAGGCAAGGTTATGGTACCTTGATGATATAAGTTTTAGTTTGTTCATGCTTTTGGGAATAAAGAGATGTTTCTTATGTCCTGAAAAGAATGAAACCAGCTCTTTTCCTCTAATTGAAACAAAATTAAAACCTATCTCAGATTTGACAGAGTTTTCTTTATCTCAGGCCCAATAATTATACTGAGATGCACTCAAACATTTTTCAGAACTTGTTGTGTTAACTTGCCAAAAGAATGTCTGTTCTCAAAATCTTCTTTTTGTTTCCCTGGTATTTTTCTACAAAGTGAACTATGTAACAGGTTGTGTCAGACCACATGAAGGATACTTTGATCACATCTGGGTGACAAGGAAAGAAATGAAAGACTTTGTTGATGCAGAATATTTCAAGACAATTAATCAAGGATTAGTTTGATTGAATACATAATCCCCTCATTTCCATAATCATTACATGCTGGTTATCTTTGAGATGAAGGTAAGGTAAAGTTTGTACTTGAGCCTATTGGTCCATCCAGCTGGAGCTTATTCCAGTGTCCATGTAGCATAAAGTGAACTTGCATCATAAGAATTGAATGGCAAATAGTCAGGAGAATTATTTATGAGATTTGTGAGTGAAATGGTCAGAGTCAACTCCAGGAACCTTTTTGGATGAAAAAATACATCCTTGGGTTTGGTGTAGTTTTAAAAGCTAAGGTACACAATTTCAGCATTGTGCCACCTCCCCACAACCCCCCTCCTTCCCCCTCTGGCCCTTTCTTAAGATGATTTGGAATTGTTTTATTCCAGTGTTGTGTGGTCATTGGAGTGATCATGTGTTAGGCTGGTAAAGGCACAGGGATGATCCCAATGTCTTATTTCTCAAGTATAAAGACTTGATAAGGTTAGATTATGTTTTATTGTGCTCTATAAACTTCCATTTTCACACTTTTTCATTCAACAACCAAATTACAGTAGTTTGATATCAGATAGTGTAAGATTATATTTTATTATCACAACAGGTTGGGATCTGCCAGTCTTAAGCCAGAGGTGTCTACTTACCAGGTGGTTTCTTCAGAAACAACTATTAGCATGCCAGAGGCTTTTTCTTTCTTATACCTTTAAATCTTAGCAGTGATTGGCATCCTATTTCTCCTTACGGTGTTACCGCTGAAGCAAACATCAAGGTTAGGAGAATAAAGAAAATCATCACCCACTACAGTTATAGCTATTGATTGTCAAATAAATTCTCCTTGTCAATACCATAGCAAATGTCATCTGATGCCTGCACATCTAGTTTGCCGGAATATGCTGGTGTATGGCAGGTTACCCTCTTAAACATTTGATTAAGTTTACCCTTTTTTTTCTTTTAACAGAGGGGTATTGTGTCAGTTATTTGTCATACATATAGCACACTAGAAATAAAGCTGGGAAAGGCCCAACCCAAACAGTCACAGAACCCCAAGTTTTTTTTTTCTCTTCCTCCCTTAGGATTTGCACAGCAATGTTTGTACTAAAGCCAAATTCCTTGATAAACAGCTTTCAGAAGATATCATGACAAAAATTGCTGAACAGTGCCACTTTGAAGGAATGAAGAACATGTCAAATTACTGGTTGGAGGGCACAGCTCCAAAACTGTTACGCAAAGGAAGGATTGGTGATTGGAAAAATTACTTCACCCCAGAACAGAACAAGATGTTTGAAAATGAGGTTATGAATAAGCTGATAGGGACTGGGCTGGAATTTGACTTTGAAGGTTGAGCTTGTTTATTGTCTTGAAAAAGATTTTGAAATGTTATCTACCTTTGGTAGTATGTATTACAATAGAATATGGGGGTAACTTTCTGATTACCAGTAATTGTGGAAATAGGACTGAGTGGAGTCCAATTTGGTCTGTAATCATACGAGTGATTAACAAATCAGACAACCACAAGGTGGGAGTTCAATTTGTTAATCACTAGCATGATTACAGACAGAATTGGATGATATGAAGTCCTGTTACCAATAAATAAAAATTATGACAACATTTGAGAAAGAAATTAGACATCAGTTATTAAAAAAAAAATCAACAGTTAACTCAGCAAAATGCCAGACAACTGTGCAGGCACCCTTAACTGTCCTATTACACTGTCCAATTACAAGCATGAAAAGTAGACTGTCCTATTAGAGCTCAAGGAGGCCAATTTACATTTTATTAACTCACTTGATAAAACCAATCTGTTCATTTTTCAGTTACTGTAGAAATTTGTTGGCCATTGGTTTGGCAAAATAACATAGATATCACAGTTTTCATGATGTTAATTTCTCCATAACAAAGTTAAGAGGTTTGACCTGTTTAAGGAAAGGATCACTAATGGGTATCACAGGAACAGATGCTACTTCTAAATACTATTAAATTATTTTGATTATTACATGTAAAAAAAGTTTTTAATTCTTTTCAGTGGTTTCTGTTACAAATTAATTAGTTATGGTGGGTCCACCTTAGCTTCAAGTTGTAAATTTTTTTACATACTGTAACAAATAGAAGTATGTATGTATAATTGAAGATTATTTCAACTTAAGAATACAGAAGTATTTAAGCCACTCCATTGAAGGAAGAAAAAAGCCTATACATTGAAACTAAAAAGATGTCTGTGTAATATAATACAGCTGCAGGATTACTACAAGGTGTTGTAAAACCTTCTACATGGGGAGATCCTTAAGACTCTCTTTAATTCATACTTGGAACAGCCATTCCAAAATAGAAATAATCAGCAAATGAAAATTAAAGCTGTCTTAGTTTTTACAAGCTCCATCTTCAAGTTGATACAGATCTGAAATCATCAGACACTGTAAAAATTAAATTGACTGTTAATTTTGAGAAAAATGACAAATTAGTTTGAGCTAAGGTCTATATATTAACCCTTTCACCCCTATGAGTGACTAGAATCCAATTTCTCCTTACAATATCACAACTGAATCGCAAATATGTCATGAGAATAAAGGAAATGATCACCAAATAAAGAAACTTGATTGGTAGACAAATTCTCCTTGTCAGCACCTTAGTAAATGTACAGAGAACAGTATGGAGAATATGAATGCTGATGTTAGGGAATAAATGGTTATTTTATCTACTGATGGTTCACTACAGATATTACTTTCATCTGGTCCAAAATGCATTAACTGTTTCTAACATCCCTCTTTCATGCAAAGGTTATTTAGTCTGAGTGCAGGTTCCCAGCTCAACAGTTTTTTGGGATAAGCAGCAGCTGAGCTGACCAAGGGAGTGTGTCAGCTTTATCACACAGGTTCGTCTCAAGAAAAAGCCACTGACATGCTCAGTGACTATATGAGGATAAATGTGCACAGGGTAAATTTATTAATGTTTGGAAAGTCCAAACATATATGCTCAAGCAATCAGAATTATTTTTTTTCAGTTGTGTCACTGATTGATACCTTAAAGCCTGAGCATAAATCTGTTTTCAAAGCCACAAGTAGCCAAAACACACAAAAAAGGGTGTCCATAACTATGAAAATATTTCTATGTTGCTCAGTGGGCAGAATGTAAGGATTTGTATGGGAATAAACAGTTGCACCCTCAACCTAAAAATCTGAACTTATGATATATACTTAAAATAAACCTACTTCTCATAGGATTATCACACAACATAAACATATTTGCATCTTTATAGAGGCTTATTCGGTGAGGGTGGGCTACCTGTGTGATAGCTGATGTCAGCTGTGAGGGACTGACTTAGCTCTACTCTCCTAAACTGTATGGTGATTTTATGTTGGTAGTAACAACCTTTGCTTTTCCTTAATCTTGTCTTTTAAACACATTTGGCCATTTTGGTATAGAATACATATTACTAGGTATACATAAGAATAAACATCTTAGCACACCATTTTCTTTTGTATATGGTTAAATTTATGCATTACTTAATCCTCAGGCTGCAATAGCAGAACAACAAGAAGGAACACATTCCTTGTCAGTGAATTTAGATGGTTAAACTTATGCATTACTTAATCCTCAGGCTGCAATAGCAGAACAACAAAAAGGAACACATTCCTTGTCAGTGAATTTAGATCTCCTTCATGCGAGAAAGACATGGGAGCTTTCTGCAAGTCAAGGAGAGAGAACTTTTTTGGTTCACTCCCAGAAAAATTAGAGGTTTGAGGAGGGTGTCAGAGGGCCTTTCTCTTTTCACACCAGCCAACTGGAGAGAGATCCAAGCTGTACTCAGGCTCAAACCAGTCATCAATAAACCAGTCATCAATAGCTTCTTATTAGAGGAAAGAGATCTAACTTCACTGTCTACAAGTAAACATAGTTTTTCATGGATGTAATCCTTATCAATTCCAGCACAGAAATGAAATTAGCTTTTTACAACTTGCCTTCCATTTGGTTATCTACAAAATGCTTCACTGTTGAGGTAGCATCAAAGTCTCTTTAGAAACAACTACATCAAAGCTTCCTTGATCAGTACAGCGCAGTGAAAAATCAGATGAAAAAGGAAAAGAAGAAAAGCTTCCTATGGGGACTTCATTAAATTCTTGATCCTCATGATCACCTAGGTCACCAATATTGTTCAAGATCAAAGTTACTACCTTTAAGGTGTTATTATGTCCTTGGAGCTCATCAAATGCTTGAGCACCAGCTGAATGGATATCGTTGTTACAAACATCCAGGGTGGTCAAGGTGGCATTTTTCTTAAGAGCCTCACAAAGTGATTGGGCTCCATTATCACCAATGACATTATGAGCAAGCTGTAAAAAAGTCAGAGTAACATTACTTTTAAGGGCCTCAGCAATTGACTCAGCTCCAGCAGTACCAATGGCATTACCTGACAAATCCAGTTTCTCCAAAGAGACATTATCTTTAAGAGCTTCAGAGACTTTGTTGGCTCCAGGATCACCAATATTGTTCTCTTTTAGCTTCAAGCTGGTCAGTGAAGCATTAACTCTGATGGTCTCTGCAATTGACTCTGCACCTTCATTGCCAATGGAATTCCCAGACAGGTCCAGATGTCTAAGTGAGGTATTCACTCTGAGCCCTTCTGATAGAAGTCGGGCACCACGAGAACCAAGGGCATTCTCTGCCAAAGTCAGAGATTCCAGTGTCCCATTAACTTTGAGGGAATCAGAAAATAAACGGCCACATTTAGCTTTGATGTTGTTCCTTGAGAGACTTAGAAGTGTCAGGGTTGTATTAACTTTAAGGCTTTCAGCAATCAACTTTGTTCCACCAACACCAACCTTATTTCCTTCGAATTTAAGGTCTTTCAAAGTAGAGTTGACTCTCAAGACTTCTGCGATAGACTTTAAACTTTGATGACTTATTTTGATATCTGATAGTAACAATGAGGTTAGGCTGCTGGCATTGGTTTTGAGAACTTCCACAAGAGAAAGAACACCAGCATCACTAATACCAGTTCCAGACAAATTTAATGAACTAAGAGTTGTGTTGACTTTCAGAGCCTCACATAGTGATATAACACCGGGATTACCAATGCCTGGGTTTCTACAAAGGCCCAAACAGTTTAAAGTGGTGTTGGTCCTTAAAACCTCTGTAAGTGCTGTGGCTCCTGCATCACCAATGTCACTAAAAATTAGATGAAAAGAACTCAAGCTTACACTCCTCTTCAAATAACCTGCCAAGATCCTGACTGTATCGTTGCCCCATGCATTTCCGCTTAACATTAAGTCATTTAGTGTTTTGCTATCCATTAGAGAATCAGCCAGTTGCTGCACACCATGTGCAATGACAATACCATTTGTCATAAAGTGAACTAAAGTTAAAGTTTTATTGACTCTAAGCATATTTGCCAATGACACAATAAACTGATCTCCCAAAAATGAAACCATGATGGATAAAAGTTTAAGTGTGTTGTTAACTTGAAGTGCCTCAACAAACAACTTCGTAAGAAAACTGCCATCAGTTATTACCAACTCTTGAAGCTCTAGGTTTGTTCCTAGCAAATTTATCATCTGGGATCGAAGTCCTGAATCTTCTGTGGAGCATTCACCAATGCACTTTAAAGCAAAGTACAAATAAAAATTTTGAAGCACATGGTTTTTGAAAAAATTGGCATTCTTGATAATGATACATAAAAGAGACAAGGCTCCATTTTCACTTCTATGGCAGATAACACCCACAGTGAACAAAAGGACTGGTTCAAGAGACTTTAAGTTTTGTCTTTCATTTGCAAGCAGAGTCTCAAAGTCTGTTTCCCCTTTCAAAATTTGGTCAGAGAGATAAAGACCTGCAAAGAATTCTTGAAAACTCTTGGGTGAAAATCGGTAGCATGTATGGGATCTTCTTTTGCTACTGTTAGACTGAACTGACAAAAATTCAAATAGAGGTGATTTTCCTGTTGTGCCTGGAAATTCACAGTCTTCAATATGCATTTTATCTTTCCTCAAGGCCTTCAAGGCTATACTTCCCAACTGTTCCAGCTCTTCCTTGAAAACTTCAGTTAGGTTGTCATTATTGTGAGACAATCCTTGTTTTTGGCAAAATCTCTTAAGAATACATTCTGTGATTTCAAGATACAACTGAATCCTGCTTAGAGGCAGACCACCTTCTAAATCTTCATAAACAAGGCAAAGCATTGCTGTGAATAGGGGATTGACAATCAGTTCTCCAAGTTCAATATTTTGTTCTATGTCCTTCAAAAGGTTTTGTCCCTGTGCCTCCAAGTCTTTGAAGTAATGCATGATGTAATTGTGAGAATTCTTTGAAGTAAATCCTTCTATTTGAAACAAGGTGTCACAAAACTTGCTTATCGTGACACTACCCTCTTGCCTGGATGTAAGAATGATGTGACACTTTGGAAGTTCCCTGCTCTCAACAAGATCAGAAAATATCTTTTTATAATTAGATGGTGCTTCATCCAATCCATCAAGTATCAGTAGTACTTGTGACTGATTGGCATTGATGTATTTGAAGAAGTTCTCTTTTGCCTTTTCATCAATGTTTCGAGGAAGTAGCTGATCATCAATTGCTTCCCAGATGTCTCCTGACAGGTCATGACATTTGAGCAGGAGAACCAATTTGATTTCTGAGAAAGAGGGGTCAGTTTCTTGACCATTGGCCCAGTCATACACTACCTTTTGACAGTAGGTTGTCTTGCCCATTCCAGGTTCTCCCTCAATCAGGACAGTTCTGGGCTTGGAGATTCCACTGTGAGGTTTAAAGACGCCAGTGATGCTGGTTACCTGTTCTGCAGCTGTTCGTCTAGTTTTGTCAAGCCTGACAATGGTTGGCTTTGTAAATATTACACTAAGGTCAAAGTTGAACTCCTCACACCAAGGAAATGGTGAAAGTCGTCCTTCACATGTCTGGTAAAGTTGGCGAATCCATTCTATAAGTTCAGTTGGCTCCTCAACATCTGAAATTAAATTAAAGTAAATTAGGTAAATAGGGGATCAATTTTGCTTTCATAATGGTATTGAATAAAAATTTAAAGAAAGCGACAACACTTTTGAGTTTGTAAGACATGTTTCAACAGAAACGTCTGTCATCTTCAGTTAATTACTGTACAAAGCGTTGAAAGTTGAATTATAAAGTAAGTAGATCAGAATGCTAATTAAGATGAATAGTGACAACAAGAAAAGAGGTAAAGCATGAAAGTGTGAGAATTAAAAACATAGTTTTAGATTTACATGGTGTTATTGCTGATTCAAAGATGGTTGTTCTCTTTGAACATGAATAGCCTCTTTTATCTTAAGCTGAAAGCTGGTGGAGGTGTGATCTAAAACATGGAAATTATCTGTAGAACACAAAACTACGTGTTTTGAACACAAAACTTCTCTATTCTAATTTTCTCCCCTCTCCCTCTCCCTCTCCCTCCCCCACACCACTCTTAATTAGTAAATTTAAAATCTACCTTTTGGCAGTGGTGTGCTTGTTGAAGCTTTCATCAGTTCTTCAAGTTTCCGATCAATATCATCCAGTTTGTCTTTCATGTTATCATTATCTCTTTTCCATTCCTTTAAAAGTTGTCTGTAGTGTTCTTCAAATACAGGGTCCATGCACTCATTTTTAAGATCATCAATTGCTACTCCATATGCAGGCCCTCCAAGTCTCACATAAGCATCTTTGCTGTCCTGCCAATACAATTTGAATGTAGCATCATCCACAGAGGCCTTCTCAGCATGGCCATACACTGTATTTCTAAAGTATTTCACTCGAGCAATGTCAGCCTCTGAGCTCATATCTGTGGCAGGCGGAAGTGCATCCCATCCAGTGGCTGGTGGACTTAGGCTACAAATGTTCCTTAGTAGGACTGTCAGAAGAGTTATGTCAAAGTTTTTTTATGATACTGAGGTGCGTATTGGAGGGTAAAGGTTTCCCCATTGTGTTGGGTTTTTAACCTTCCTCCTTTGCAGTAGCTGTAGTGTGGCATGATGTTTTATCATGTCTCTGTAAAGATTTTTTGGAGGACGAATGCTGTCAAACTTGTCTCGTAGCACATAAGATCCCACATCAACCAGGAGACGACAGAGTCTTGCATATATATTGGTGGTTTCTTTAGTAGAGGAAAATGACACTGGAGCAGCAGCTGTGGCCATTGTCTTCCTGACATAAAGAAAAGCCATGTATTAAAGAGGTTCTGGCTCATTAATATTTATTATGAACCAATACATCTAACTTGATTATGGTTGGAGAGGTGAAAGCTAAGGGGAAATTAATCCAGCTTCAACATTTTAAGATTTGGGAGGGTATTTTTGATGATGGATAAGGCTCCCCCCTTATAAACTTGTATGCTACACAGCCATGAAACATGCATGTGTTATACTAAAAAAATGGTTCGAAGAATAGATGTTTTGAATATGTGGTGAATTCTTTCAAAGATCTTTAACTTACAAGAACAATGGTAGTTTTTCTTGTAAGTTAAAGAGAGCAGTGTATCAGTTGAATATCGTATCCATCATAAGTTACCATTCAGAAGGGGTAAGGTTGCCAATTCGAATGTGAGAAGTAGATGTAGGACCTAAGAGAGTGTTTGGCAAAGCTAGGCTTGTTTGGAGAGTAAACCATAAACCATGGTTTTTACTCTCCAGATTTGGTTTTTACCATACAAATAACAGTTCCTATTCATTTTAAGTAATCACACAGTAGCCGTGGGCGACTAAGAGTAGTGGAGAGGGTTGTGAAGGTGTTAGCTGCGCAAAGATTCTTACAGTCAGATATTAATCGAAAACGAAAGTTCAACTATGGCATAGTAGTAAATGGCTACGCATATGGATGGCGCGCCTCGAGACACATTCATTACAAAATCAACCGAGGTTTTTTTAACTTACGTTATGTTATTTTGTTTTCGAAGTTACTTCAAATCGAATATTTTCAACCAAAGCTTGTTTACTTCCTTCTCAACAAACAGTAGGCGCGCCCGAAAGACTACTTGAACGGTATATATAGATATAAACTGCATTTCATTTAACTCTGTTTGAGTAGAAAACCGATCTTGAGAAAATAAAGAAATACAAACCTGCTTTATCACAAACAGAAGAACAACTCAGCGAATCACAGCAGTAAAACTGAGAGCCAAAGTACATGCAACTTTGCTTCACCCTCGATTTAAATTTGGGACGTTCCCAAGACGTAATCGTCTGGTGCTGTGGCGGAATGTGGCCCTCTTGGTCACGATTTGCCTCAGCAGTCACGCGAAGTTTTCGATGGTCGTAGTAACAGATGGTCACGCGTTACCCGATTGTGCAAAGTTCACCTAATCGTATACTTTGACGGGGGTTTCTATCTTTGGTAGATTTACTCGTAGTTCGTGGAAAATTTTCAATTCTAGGGGGCCTCTTTAATAGGTCAAAGACCCCCAGGGTTTCTTTAGAAACTTTCCACCTTTCAGTTTCAATAATCAACTTATCTAGTTCTGTAGTGCTGAACAAGCACAGCAGATTTAAAATAGCAATAACTAAAAGAAAATTTTAAATAAGCTTGGGCCAAAAGACGAGGCGGAAAAAGTTTAAAACCTGAATATATGTTTATGTGTGGCGATATGACCAAAAAAAAAAAAAAAAAAAAAACGGGTTGCCTTCGACCTTCACGCGCGCCAATCTGACGAAAAGATATATAAAAAAAGGAAAAAGACCGGTCCCTTCCCTCGTATACTGGTCTCTTTTCCCTGTTTATCATGACAATCAAAACAAATCAGATCAACTTGAGAGACTGAACAGTAATATAAGCGAAAAATAAATGCACCCGGTTATTTACTTTATTTATCATTAGCACTTCTCTTAAGATTAGGAATCATTCGTTCCACCCATTTCCCAAAGTAAAATATTTCATCTGATATAATTTCATGTCCTTGAATTGTGTAATTCACTTGGAAATCAGTTAGTTTCTTCAAGTCCATAAAACACTCTGCAGTGTGAGCAGCCCATCTCAGCCAGTTTTTATCTCTCCTTCCTTTCCACCTAAACAATGCGTGGAACTTCCGGTCCTTGTCAAGCTCTCTCTCTTTTCTTAGTGTCTCAAACACAGTCGACCGTGTTGATAAGATGGAAGAATGTGCAAAAACACCGGTAATGTTCGTGAGAAACTTGATGGTCGCCAAAAGAAAATAAAAGAAAAGTCTTACAGTGTCACGTGCGATTTCTCTGCCACGCGATAAAAATTTTAGTACTGGTTCCAGGGTATGCGGAACACGCGTTATATATAAGCCTCAGTGGCCTGATGGTAGACCATCGGAAAGGAGCTGAAGAGCTGTTCCATAAGTTTTATCTTTTTCCACGCTCGTGACATGGCGAAAAAAACACCAGCTTTCTTCAGCGATTGTTCTGTCACTCCACAACATGTCACACTACCCTTGCGAAATGGCTTTTGGAATTCCTAGGAATTCCTAGGAATAAAGGTGTGAATTTTCACGGTAAATTCGGACTGGGAATTCCTAGGAATTCCCAACCATAACAACTCTGGTTCTAAAAACCTAGAAATTCCTAGAAATTCCCAGAAATTCCCAGAAATTCCCAGAAATTCCCAGAAATTCCAAGTTTATAGCCAACAGGACTTGTAATTCCTAGGAATTCCTAGGAATTCCAACTCAGAGAACTAATGACTTTCCCTGAAAAGCTGTAAATCTAAAAAATTCCTAGGAATTTCTGGGAATTTCTGGGAATTTTTGGGAATTTTTAGGAATGTTTAAGAATTACTGGGAATTTTAAGAAAAAATTTGAGGCTAATGATATAAAATAAATACTTTAAATTAAAAAACCCAGCTAAAATTCAAGTATTCAATGAAATTTATTTAGAAGCTTAATTAAGGCTTACATGTAAAATATTTTTGATTAATTATTAACATCAATGTGTGGTAATATTAGGATGGAATTTGATTTATTTTTCTTTTCTTGAAAACTTCATACGGATTAATCCTCAATTACAGCTATTCATATAAAATAGTTCTAATCAATCATTAAATTTGGTTTGACACCAATTGTGAATAAAATCTGTTGATTCTTTTCCATAAAATACAATATCTTAAGTTATATTTCTATAGTTATATTCTTGGGAGTGAAGGGGCTAATTACAGACAAATAAAATTGATTTTTTGATTAAAATCTTGTTGTAACTGTAACAATAAATTAGAATGAAGTTATCCTAAACTGCAAACTTAGCTGCTGTTTGTACTGTTTGTATTTTTTTTCCTGGGCTCACAATGAGTTGGCCTTGAATGAGGTTGTCAACAAGAACCTTGACCATTTTGTATCTGGATTCCTTGACATCTGAATGTGAAAAAAAATAATATATTAAAATATGTATGTTTAAAGCTCAGACCAGGCTTTTAAGATGGCTATGAGGAAAAAGGGCATTCATTGGATTCTCAAATTGAGAAATCTCTGTTATATTGAGTGACTTTTATATTGGAGTTAGTACATCTCTCTCATGGATTTTACTAAAAAGGGCTGAATACATTATTTTGTTTTTTCCAAGGAGGGCTTCTTTATGTACTAAGGTTTGTTATGAATCTTGAATGTTCCCAAACGTGACTAGAGGAATCTTGAAACCTTACTGATAGGTTTATTTCATTGTAAAGCATAAGCTTAAGAAACTGCGGCATGCAAGTGACCGATTCGATTCTCAGAATTATTCTAGTTTCAGTTGCGCCGAGCGTTATGTAAGCTTAATTCAACCCGCTGCATCTATTCTTTTATAAGATTTTGATCACGTAACGAATATCGCAATTTTTACTCACCACAAACTTTCAAAATCGTAGCTTTACAGATGGCCACTCGACTCTTGTTTGTACCAGTCAATATGTCAACTGTTGTCCCTTCTTTTAACTCCACGGCGCCAACGACTTTCTTCTCTTTTACAACACTCACGCTATTGAGAAAAGCGATCAACCGATGAAAAGTACATTCAAAGATTAGCGCCAAATGGAGTCTTCTTTGTTTCCGATCACGGGCATGATCACGTGGATCTTTTAGGACTTGTAATTGGCTAGCAAAGTGAATCCGCTGGCTTGGCGATTGCAATTAAGAGAAGCGCACTACTTTACTCTGACTTCTCCGACCGGTTCTCTTCTTCCAGAAGATGGATAGCTTGGTGATATAAATAAAGATGTGAGCTCACTCTATGTAGAAATAATCGACAAGAATCGATCGTATTACAAATGCACGATTTGTGGCCGAAAGTTGTCGAGGAAACAAAGACTCGAAACTCACTTGAGTTGTGTTAATAGCAAAGGTGAGAAATAACACAAGCCAATCACAGTTTTGAATGCGACCACAAATCGTCTTTTACCCTCATATTTATAAAAGAAGGATACCACATTCGGAAGTATAAGAGATACATAGATGATCCCAGTGTACCAGTACCTAAATCTACAAAGCTTGACCGTAGCAAGCGTTCAGCAACACGTTCCAACACCGCCATCTCGATTCCTCAGTTAGTCGTTTCCACTGAACTTAAAGCAGTATTGACAACAGAGTAGAGTGCGTCTTACAAAGGAGAAACATTTGTACAATAGACAGGAGTAGCTATATGCGATTACAGAGGTGCGTCGGAACTCTGGTCCACAAATAGTTATGCACTGCCCGAAGTATAAAACAATTTTGTTGATAGCTGACAGACAGAGAAGAACAACAAGTAAACTTAAGAGCTGTTATTATTGAAGTGTGACTAGCACTTTTCATTTTTATTTAAGAAGGACTTGTAATTTGCACCAAAAATAAAAAGATGTAATATTTTTTTGGGAGAT